CTGCATTTGTTGATCACTCTGCCAAGAAATCCTCATAGTCTCACCTTCTCAACTCTTTCAATTCTCACAACATAGAGGCATGACTTTAATTCATGTGGACAACTCATCTCTATGCTATTTCCTCAAGGGAAGAGTAATTAATTTTAGGAGTCACTGCCAAAATAGCAACCAAATGAATGCCTCTTCCTCCCCTCTATGGTCCCTCTGACCACAATATGACATTTTAACAAGGGTTAGAATCATCGACAGGACTGGGATAATCATCAGGCTACAGTCAGAACCTGGATTCTTCATTTCTTTTTCCCCCCCAATAAATGTTCACTGAACATCTAAAATGTACTGGGCAGTGTTGTTCAAGAATAACTATGACAGTAACTAACTATCGAGTGCCATATGCCAGGCCCTGTATTAAACACATGATGTGAAATGCCCTTTGTAATGGATACTATTATTATTTTCATTTTACAAGAAAGGAAACTGAGGCACTATAAGTTTAGGTAATTTCCCCAGGATCAGATGTGAATAGTATGGCAGTACCAACATTTAACTACGAATCTGCCTCCACAGCCCAGAGAGTATCTCACCCACATGACACAAGCATTCAACTATTCAAAATTAAGAAAAAGTGGTGAGCACTATAATAAAGGACACAGTGCTATGTGTCTGTCTAATGGAGACATGGCTTAAACTGGGGTAGAGGTGGAATACTCAGGCAAGGTATTCTTAAGAAAGTGATGTTGACGTTTAAGACAATATATGTATTGTCCAAGGTCAAGATTAGATGAGAGAGGGCTTGGGAAGGTTAATAAATTTAGGAATGAAGCTGGACTATGTCATTTGGCAAACAGTGAACAAAGTACCTTTGTGAGCCCACCAGGTGCACTGGTGATTCCCTCCTGTTAAGAGCTAAATCTAATCAACTGTACTTTTCCAAACATATCTTCAAGTGCACTACATGCATTCACTGTCACTAACAATTAGCTGGGAATTACTTGAGCAGAAGACTTCAAATGCATCTAACAAATAAAAAACCCCAGTTATAAATAACTCACCAAAATAAACAAAGACAGATTCATTAAGCGCATAGACACTGGATAAATATGGACCTACCCTCTAATCTAAGCTGTGCCATGAATATGTTGCCTCACCTTGAAATAAGTTACTCAACCTTTCTCAGCCTCAGTTTTTCTCATAACCAAAAATGGAACTAATAATACATATCATTCCATCGAGGGTTAAACTAGGCCCACAGTAACAAACAGCCGCCACATTTTTACTAACCAAAAACAAAAAAACAAAATACAAATTACAGTCTCTCAACCTTGAGATGAAATTTCCACTAAGACTTTGACAAACCGTTTTCAAGTGACGAAAAATATCTACCTTCTCAGATATTTTTCATGAATTAGTTCCCATCATAGTATAATATGGTCACCTTCCCTCCCTGGAGCTACTTCCTCTGCAGGCCTCCAGTGCTGAAGTCTGCAGTGGCTGTACCTTCAGGTCCATTCTTTGGGCTCAGGCAACACTCCTGGTGGTGCCTCACAACTGATGTTGGTATTTCTGGTTTATAACTTTTTTTTCCTGTGTGATTTAAAAGACTATATGCAGACAATAACTAGGAGGTATGAATGGCTACATTATTATCAGACCAAAGAAAAAGGCTTTAAGATGAAAATTGTCAGAAGAGAAAAGACAAGACACTATATAATGGTAACAACATTAATCGGTAAAGGGGAGAAACCACTGTAAACACATGTAAAAACTGACAAGATGAAGGAAGAGTAGACAATTCTACAATAAGGGTTGGAGATCTCAATATCCCATTTTCAATAGTGTACACAACAATTAGAAATAAGGTCAAAAAATTTACAGAGGTATTGACAAACACTGCAAACCAATTAGACCTAACAGAAATATGTGTAAACCAAACGCACTAGAATACACATTCTTTTCAAGTGACCATGAAAAATCTTTAGGATAGACTACAATGACATTAATAAAATTATATAGGTTTCAAATGTACAATTCTATAATATGTCAGATGTATATTGCATTGTGTGTCCACCGCCCAAAGTTAAATTTCCTTCCATCGCTATATATTTGACCCCCTTTACCCTTACCTACCTTCCCCTATGTTTTCCTTACTGTAATCACTAAATTGTTGCCTGTGTCCATGAGTAACTCTGTTTGTCATGTTCGCTTGCTGCTTGCAGATTTATATCACACATATAAATGAAATCTTTTAATTCTCAACTTTTTAAGTCTGACTTATTTTGCTTAGCATTTTAATCTCAAGATCCATCCATATTTCAAATGGCAGTATTTCATCTTTTCTTATGGCTGAGTAATATTCTATTGTATACATACTACTAAATTAAGGCTTAGTTTTATTAGCTTCAACCATGTATATGGATTCATAGCCTTTCCTTCCAATAAAAAAGAAAAGATAATAAAATTCATTGTGACTGAGCAGTAATCTCCATAACAATCCAATAAGATAGTCATTGCTATTATTATCATTTTACAGATGAGGAAATTGACAGAAAGGAGAAGGTATCAAAATAGAAATACTGGAGAGCCCATAACCAGAACAACTGATTTCCTGCATTATGCCCTTAACTGCTGTTAGCTGCCAGGCAATAATAATAGGAAGATCAGATAACCATATTAGTTACAATTTATTGAGCCAGGGACTGTGCTGGACACAGTGTATTAGTTTATTATTTATAAAAATCTCATAATTTTTAACTAATACCTGTGCTTGTTTTTATATATAACAATTATTATATGTTGCCTGTAACATTATGGTATGTAACAACTTTAGGGCTATAAAAGCATCAGCCATTTCAGCTGACAAGTAGGGCAAAGTTCCTTACAATTTAGAACTGTTTTGTATTGCTCATATCACTCATCTTATGCTGATAACATATCAGAAAGAGTAATGATTCAAATAAAAGGACATTTTGATGCCATAAAGGAATTTCTATTTATTAAATATACAGTCATATTCTATAAAGTATTTGCCTGTCATATAACAATAGTTTCTACAAGGTAGCACAATGTTTGGTACACAATAAATATTAAATGAATGAAAGTATAAAGGAAGATAAATTCAATAAAATGAAGTGCAAAAAAGTAGCATTGGAGGCTACAGAATGCTTTCCTACATTTATCTGTTTCAACTCGAAGGAACATTCTGGTGAGACCTCTTAGGAGAACTACAATTTGTTTTATTCCTGCTTAAACTGAGGATGACAAAAAAATTAAACTACAATTCTCAGTATTTAAGTAAATAGTTTACCATGATATTCTCCCTGTTGTCAATAAGATTTTATTATCATATAAACGTGAGCTCTTTATGTTATAGTTCCCCTTTAATCGGTTTACTTTTTGGTACTATTTCATTATTAAAAGCTGTTTGTAAAGATATGTCACTCAATCTACACATAAAGCAATTTCAGGATAAATATGTTGCTTTCATTTCTTCTCTCCTTCATTCATTAATCAACAAATATTTCTGAGCCTAAGGAAAGTAACGGCCATGTTGACAGTTGCTGGGGCTCCAGTGATGAATAAAAGAGATCCAGTTCCTGCCTTTGCAGAGCTTAGGATCCAATGAAAGTCTCCGAAGAGGTAGCAGAAAATTACAACGCAGTGTTATAAGAAATAATATTACTCCACATTGGACAGACACACAACAAATACCTGCAGGGGCCAGGAAAAGATTTCTACATAAAAAGCCATCGAAAACAGGACCCAACAGATAAAGGGAGTTTGGTTAGCAGAGTGAATGGGCACGAGGTTGGAGGAGAATGTCTTAGAAGATGAAATACATAACAAAGGCCAGGAGGTTAAAAAGAGAGAGAAAGAATATGCAGGAAACCTAATCAATTCAATAGAGCTAGGGTTATTAATTCATCCTTTCATTAAACATTTATTTATTGAACCTCCCACTGGGTGCGGGACACTCTGCTGGACATCGAGCTTGTAAAAGGGTAAATGGCAAGACAGGAGGCTGGAGAGACAAGAATGGAGAAGATCGAGAAGGGTTTCGTAATCGTCTTAAGGCTCGATGCTAAGTGCCATAGGGAAAATATTGAAAGTTTTTTTAAGCTAGTAGGTGATAGTCAGATTTGAGTTTTAGAACGATAACTCTAGTTACAGGATGGAGAATGGACTGAAGGGGACAAGACTGACAGCAGGAGAGCAGTTAGGATGTTACTGTGATGATTTGGGTGTGAAAGGATGGAGACCTAGCCTCTGGTGGTACCAGTACCAGTGAGGATGCAGAGTTTTGTGCACACTGCTGTGTCCGACTCCAGTCCCCTTCACTGGGCCAGTGCACCCATGGCCCCCGCTGCTGTGTGTTTTGGCTCCTAACAGCTCACAGCCCCACTATACCAGAACCTACCAGTGGTCAATGAAGGACTAGAGCCTTGGTCAACCTGTACCCTAGAGAGTTGTTCCCTGCTTGCCAGTCCAGAACACTGCTCCTTGTTCACCAGCCTCAGCCCACCAGCACCCCAGTGGGAAGCTTCCGGCGAGCCAGTCCCTTTCCTGCTTGCTAGTCACTGTTCAGCTACTATGAACCGGTTCTGGCCCAAGGCAACTGACAACTTCACCATCCCATGAACAACAACTCTACCTTCTCCAAAAGACTGGAATCCTAGTAGTAAGCAAAGTCTCAAAGCTACACAATAAAAAATTATTTTAATACCAATCCAATATTCTACATTCATACCTTGTAGCTTCTAAAGATATTTCATATTTCTAGGTAATAGATAAATATTTATTAGGAGGCAATAAATTATGATAACAAGAGTGCGGGGTGAGAGACAGTAAGTCTGGGTTCCAGTCCAAGCTTTACCTCTGTGCTTACGTGGCTACCTGCAAGCATTATCCAATCCCTTGTTAGAGCTGATGTCTTCATCTGTAGATCAAGAGGCTTGGAGGAGATTACCTCTATTACTTCTACCTATGATGCTCAATGATTCTGTTTAATCATTACCAGACATCACTTTTTTCCTCCAGAGTTTACTCATAGCATTTTTTACTTCAGCATTTCTGAGGGTGTAGATTAAAGGATTTAACATAGGAGTAATCATGGTATAAAACACAGCCACAGCTTTATCAACGGATAAAGTAACAACTGGGCGCAGATACACAAAGATGCAGGGCACAAAAAATAAAATGACCACAGTGATGTGAGACACACAGGTGGAGAGAGCTTTGCGCCTCGCCTCCAAGTTGTAGGTCCTTAGGGAGTGCAAGATGACCACATAGGAGGCCACCAAGAGGAGGAAGTTTAACAAGCAGATGAACCCACTGTTGGCAGCAACAAAGAGACCAAGGGTATGAGTGTCCATACAGACAAGCTGCAACAAAGGGTACAAGTCACACATGAAATGATCTATGACATTGGGGCCACAGAAGGGCAGCCAGACTGTGAAGAGAATCTGAATGGTTGCATGGAGAAATCCTCCAGTCCAGGCCACTCCCAGCAGAAGCCTGCACAGCCTGTGGCTCATGATGGCTGTATAGTGCAAAGGTTTGCAGATGGCCACGTAGCGATCATACGCCATCACTGTCAGCAGGATGATCTCAGTGGCACCAAAAATGTGTTCTGCATACACTTGAGCCATACATCCATTAAAGGAGATAATTTTCTTCTCATGAAGGGAGTCCATAATCAGTTTAGGAGCTGAAGAAGAAGAATAAATTGTGTCTATCAAGGAAAGCTGAGTCAGGAAGAAGTACATGGGGGAGTTCAGAGCCTGGCTGGTGGTAATGGTAACCACGATGAGCAGGTTGCCTGAAAGTGTTACCATGTATAGGACCAAAAATATCACAAACACTACTTTCTGCATTTTGGGGTTCTGTGTAAGGCCTACTAAAATGAATTCAGTCACATTCCTTTTCTGCTCCATCTATGCAGTGTGGGTGATAAAAACTCCAGAAAGGAATGCTTTACCTTTAAAATAAAAAATAAAAAGGAAGGAAAGATGGAAGAAAAAGAACTTACATATTGATACTGATAGTTAATAAGTCAAGTCTATATAGTCAACCAGATAAGTTTAATGCAGTCTATTTCCATTTGCATGATGAAGAATACACATATCATTCAATTAAACTTCAAGATAATATTTAAAACTAAGTTTTGCCATTATTAATTCTCACTTTCTCCTGGACCTCAGATTCCTTTATTCCCTATATCTTAATATATTTCTAAAACACAAAGACAGTGAAGGGTAAGATGAATTGTCCCTGTTACACGTGGGCAAGGTACATAACGAGGTACATGGAAAGGAAATCTCTTCCAGATGATTCCACAAATGCTTCACTGAGAAGCTAGCCTTACAGTTCAGAGCCCCAGGATAGCGGTCTCCCTTCTGGATACCCCACTGCATCAGAGTCCTTCCAGGCACAAGAACCATAGAGAAGAAAGTTGAGTGCACTTCTAATTGCCAATTTTTCTCTAGAAGAAGTGGCCCCTGGGGAACCAACAACTGACTACTAATATGTTTTTATAAATTCCTGAAGGTCTGTTTCAAAGGTCAGATTTCATGATCAAAATCAAACAGAAAACCAAAATTCGATTCATTACTTCCGTTTCTTGCAAATCTTAAAGTAATTAGAATATATTATTAAAGCTCTTCTCTTTCACAATTTTCACCTGCCTCCTTTTGCCCCATACCATACAGAAACAGCTTGGACTTATGTCAGAATTCGTGTCTTTGATGTCCTATGTTAACTGACGGACGCAAGCACAAATCGGTTCCTCTTCTGTCCTACCCCAAGACCAATAGTGTGGCTATTGCCACTCAAATCTGCTAATACCAGTTCTTCTGAAAGAATGAGAAATGAAGAAAAGCGTTGATCTAGCAAGAAGGCCCTGACCGTTAATAAAAGAGCCCTGCAATTCAAAGGCAAAAATCTAAGAAGACAAACTTCTTCCAAACAGAGAAACTTTTGTCGCTTGTTTATATTCTACATGTTTGAACATTTTGAAATGCAAACATTATAACTTGACTTTTCCCCTTTCTTAATAACATGCAGAGATTTACTGTTACCTTAGTAGTTCCTATGATGGTTGATTTTTGTTGAGTGTTTGCCACATGCCAGGCACTATGCTAAGAACTTTACATGCATTATTTCACTGAATCTTCACAACAGTGCTTTGAGATTGGTACACTATTATCTATACTTTAAAGAAAAGGAAATTGTAATTAGGAAAAGATAAATGACCTGCCCAAAGTCATAATGATAAAAAAAATACATAGAGGAACTTGTATCCAAATCTAAGTTGTTCTTCTTTACTGTCTCCAGATCTTTTACACTCAGTACCTCTCCAGTATGGATCCAGTTTACTCTAGGATTCAGCAATGCCAGAGTTTGGACAAGTAGGTTGGTACCTAACGCCACCACCTGTGACCATGTGAAATCCATAGCAGTGTCAACCTATGAAATGTAGAATCAGGTGTTAATGCGTTTAGGGTCCACTGGACAAGACCCTAGAATTTTGGTACACTAGACATCCACTAGAAGCTTGAATTTAAAGATAAGGAAACTGAGGCCCAGAGAAGTCAAGTCTAAAGAAACACAGCTATTTGAATAGTATCAGAACACAGTAAGAACATAAGTCTTCTAATGCCCAACACAGTAAATCTTTTTCCACCACCACATCTTGCTTCCCTTAAGATGACTTTAGACAAGTGTACACAAGAAAAAAATCACCCTCAGGTGACAAAGAGAATCAATTTTCATCTCTTACCTTTAGCAATACCTGTCTTGACTAAGAAAAAGGGCTAAGTTCAAGGATGCAGAAATTCAGTCACATTGCTGGGATTAAAATCCATTGTAGCAGAAATAAGGTCTTACTTGGTTGGAACAACATACAAAAATGTTTGAATAGAGTCAGAATAAAAAGTGACCTTGAACCTGGAGTTTAATATAGATTCCCAAACACAGTAGAAGGTACATTCTTTCCTTACAGATCCTATATTTTAATGCATTTTTCTTATGGATCTCAGTTTTAGAGTTGAATGTTTCTTTCCAGAAACAGAATCCAAATGTTGTCTTTCTCTTCTATTCCATGCTAACCTATCTCGACCACAGTGACTATCATACATTCTATCTCTGCTTCACCTTAAATTTCCCTTCTTTATTCTGATTTGATTCTCATATCTTCTATCGGCATAAGGGAGGCATTTCCCCTCTTTAATCCCTGTAAATTATCAAAGTCAGAGCAGTTTCAATGAAATGAGTACCTGTACATGATCCAATCTCTGAATTTTCAAAACATCACACCATATTCCTTACCGCTGGAGGTAACCCTCAGTGACCCATCCAGCTCCAATCTGCTATACTGCTGCACTGTCTCCACACTCAAAAGCCTAGAAATTGACTCAGGGATCCATAAATTCCTAATAATATAGATATATTCACACACCGTGAGAACAAATGTTTCTGCAAAATATCCTAAAATATCTCAAAGTGATTCTCCATCAAATATCAGAAAGTAATGCTTTGATGATTTTAATTATAAACCGCTTGGTAGAAAGTGGAAATGTGAGAAACTGGATTAAAAATCAGCAATTCTAGTTAACTTACTGTGGTTGCCTCTGTAGTTAAGGAGAATATCCAATAAATTCAGGAACCAGAAATAAACATTCCCTGTATCTGTTCAAACATCATGTTGTGTAATGGATATTTTTCAAGCCCCTACTGACTGGACAATATTACAGGAAGCAGAGAATGCGACACAAATTTCTTCAAATTATTTCAGCCTGCACTTTCAAAGCTCCAATACCTTGGAGACTGGAGATTCAAGTCAAAGGGGGGAAAATGAGATGTTGAATTTGAAATCCAAAGTCCTCAGGTACAAACGGGATTCTTCAGGACAAGCTATCTAGCTACAGAACAAGAGATACAAAGATTTCCATCGCTTAATAATCCCCCCTTATTCTACACTTAAAAAAGCAGCTTCTTGAGTGTTCAGAGAGGATACTGAGAACATTAAAGAACCTATCTTTCTGTCTGAGGATTGACCCTCTCAGGAATTAATTATCTCTGTGTTTTAAAAATCTCACCTTAGAAACAGATATTTGGGAGAATTCCTTTCTAAACAACACATCTACATCTGCCTGGTTCTTTTCTCTGCATTTAAACATATATTAACAGCCTGAGTTCCTGGTCTGGAAAATCATGCAATAAATCTCTCCTCTTATATGCCCTTGGGTATCATGAAGTGGGACATGCAGGATTCTAAATGCTGTATAAACAACAACATGGAGTTTCATTCAAGTTGCCTCCCTGAGGAAATTTCTTCACTGGCTGAAATCACCAGAGGAGTTTGGGGTACTGCATCAATCTCTCAGCTATACTGTGAACACATCAGGACACGCTCTGTAGGAACCTTGCAATTTCATATATTTTCAGGCAGAGTAATATCTAGACTTGGATAAAACTGAAGGCCAAATGAAGGCTAAAATTCTAGTACCGACTTACATGGTGTAAAAATATAAAAAGATCAATTTTTATGCCTTTTGTTGACTACTTTTGGAAGTCCACTAATTCCACTGGCCATTCAATGACAGTAGTCTTATCCACACAAACAGATATCTTTAAATTTTATTCACACATAATTTATTTGAGACAGTGGAGATTGAAACAGTCAACTGTATTCTGCCATTTTGCAAACACATACTAAAGCAAGTACTCAGCAGCCTAGAGAAGAGGGTGATGTTTAAATCACATGTTATAAGACCTGAAGCGCCAGCTACATTTAAATGTACAGATAGGCATTGGAGGGAGAACCAGGAGAAATAGTAATAATAGCACCTACCATTACTGAGTCCCTACTTTTGTTCCTGCTTTTAGTAATTAGAGTCTTCCATCTCCGTTTTAGTCAATCTAGGCAAAGGTTTATCAATTTGATGATCTTTTCAAATAATCCACTTTTGTTTTTATTGTTTTCATATTCTGCATTCTCTAATTCATTTGTTTCTGCTCTTTGTTATTTCATTCCTTCTCTTTGCTCCAGCTGTATTTTGCTCTTCTTTCTCCAATGTCTTAAGGAGAAAGGTTAGGCTACTGATTGATTTCAGGTCTTTCTTCTTTTACTGAGATAGGTATTTATAGCTCTAACATTCCCACTAAGCACTGATTTAGATGCATCCCATAAATTATACTATGTATGTTTTCATTTTCATCCATCTCAGAGTATTTTCTAACTCCTTTCACAACTTCCTCTTTGGCCCATTGGCTATTCAGGAATATGCTGTTTAATTTCCACATCTCTGTGAATTTCCCAAATTTCCTCCTATCATGATTTTTAATTTCACTACAGCATAGTTAGAGAGCATACTTTGTATGATCACTACTTTTATATTTATTGAGTCTTATTTTATGGCCTAGCATATGGCCTAATCTGGAGAACGTTCCATGGGCACTTGAGAGAATTAATATTCTGCTGTTGCTGAATGGACTGCTTTATAGACATGTGTTAGTTATAATTGATTTATAGCATTGTTTCAGTATTCTGTTTCCCATTAAACTTCTGGATAGCTGTCTGACCATATTGAATGTTGGATATTTAAGTCTCCAACTATTGTTGAATTATTTATTTACTCTTTCTACTGTGCCAGTAATATACATGTATTCATATATTCTAAGGCTGTATTGTTAGCTGCAATATGTCTATAATTGTTATGTCTTGATTCATTGAATATTTCATCATTATAAAATATCCTTTTTGGTCTCTCGTCACAATTTATGGCTTAAAGTCTATTTTGTCATATATTAGTGTTAGCTTTCATTTGCTTAGTTTGCTTGGTATATATTTTTCCATATAATCACATTCCACTTGTTTCTTCGAATCTAAAGTGTGTCTCTTGTAGACAAAATATATTTGAATGATGTCTTTTCC